GCAGCGGCTCCCGACCCCGGCAAAGCCATCACGGAATCGTTGTGTTTGGAAAAAAGACCTTCCAAGATCATCAAGCCCACCCGTCAAGCCAGCACTGCCAAGTCCACCGCTAAACCACGTCCCTAAGCAGCACGTCTAGAGGTCTCTTAAAAACCTAGGAGAGTGGTTGCTTCACCGCTCCCCTGGGCAGCCTGTGCCAGTGTCTGACAGCCCTTCCAGCCAGGCTGGGAACTGGTCCCACGGCCCCGCTGGAGGTGTGTGACGGGCGGGCAGAGCACCAGCATCCAGCTGCGTGCCAGAGCTTTGCCAGGCCTGCCACAGAACCAGGGAACGTTGTGAAAGACACCAGATTGTGTGACTAGTAAATAATGCTACGTGTGATTTGGCCGCACCTGAGGATGTAGATGAAAAAGATTAAAGTTCTGATAGAATCACCTTGATAAGTGATGCTGTAGAAGTAGTCAGCCATTTGAAGGGCATGGTTTGTGTTCACCAGTAATTTTGTTTCTGGCTTTACATCAGTAGCTCTACTGGGCTTGTTTGCTGTCAGGTACCTCAACTCAGCTGGGACTCCTTCACCAACATGAACATTTGTGACACACACCACAAAGCTGTCACTGCCATGTTGCAAGCAAACACTGCAGCAGCAGTTGTAAAAAGAGAGTTTTATTGTTTTATTTGGTCGTAGTCCTGAGTCACCCGGTTAATACCAATTACTTTGTCCATCAGGACTGGGAACTCAAGTGTTGTGCAAGACCCACAGCTGCAGTGCTGATTCCACTGCCAGCTAGCACCACAAAGAGAGGCTCTCAGTTTTGACTCTTAAAGCCTCTCACCAGCTCTCCTGTGTGTCACTGACACACTGCAAATCAGGGATCAGTTTCGGAAGGCAGACTTAAATTTACACTAAATTTAAATATTCCTATGGAATCATGGTGAAATCAGAACACGTGAGCAGCAGCTAGTTCACATCTTTCACTGAAGTATTTCCTGATGGAAGATCCTGGTTTGGGAACTACTCTTGTGATATATTAGGTGCTGTTTTAATAGCAGACACATGGATTCAGTTCTTCATGGCTAAATGCCTCCTGACGTTAAACACTTGTGGCTTAACTTTATA